AATGAAAACGAACTGTCGCTACTACACAATAAAGGTAAATTTCACTTTTATGCCATGAAAAACTCCCAACTAAAAATATAATTAAGTACCTACAGGTAATAACGACCGTGTACTGAATGATGACACTAGTATTCATAATTTCTTCTTACTAATTATAGATCTACTTCGGTGTATAATTAATAAACAGGATTTTTAACAATCAAAATGATATGTTTTAAATTTAACTGCACAGTTAAATTGGAACTTGATACCAAAATAACCTCACAATAATAACGCTACACCGTGTCAACAATTTGCATTCATGCATTATTTACCGTAAAGGTAACTTGTAAAACAAATCTTATGTAATTTTTACCCAATAACTCATATTATCCTGTCATCGTTTTCATTGCAGATGACTGTTGACAAATAGTAGGTGCAAACGTTGAAACACAACCTTATGTAAAATTCACGAGCGTAATTGAACAAGTCTAGGCTTATAAGGGCGATTTATTCAAGAGTAATGTGAACTGCAGTATCGGTGGCTACGACGAACCTACGGATATTCACGAATTAGTCTTGCCTGGGCTTTTAAAGAAAAAATCCGTTGAACCTATTCAGTCTGACTCTATGACTGAAAATGATACCCGGACCGACATTTGCACTTCTCTAAAATATTTACAAGTGAGTAGAACGTCTAGATTTAAAAAGGATGTTGTTTGTTTTTTATGAGTTGTAATTTGTGTCAGAGGGCTAAGAGTTTCCATCTAATCCCCCCTCCCCACATTACTCGACAATGTACTCGCCCCTATGACGTAAGTTGAGCTAAATTGTCACTTGTCACACACTTGTATATTCAAATATCAAAATGGTTAGTATTTAATAAAACCTGTATCATTTATTACCTACCCATAAGTGCACCTACCTCACCCTTTCTCTGCAGCGCCCAATTGGTCGACTGGAAGAGAATGTTATGAAGAGAAGGCATAAAGTCTGCCGATGCATATATTTGTGCATAAAGTTTTAAATTAAACAAAATAAAAATAAATCAAAGTCATCAAAATCTTTGCTTTCAACAAGCCTCTTCCAAACCCACGTTTGGTTGTATGCATGTATCGTTTGTGCAGTGGTAGAAGTAAAAGTTTAAAGAAAGTTTATATTTTACTTAGCTAGTATTCTTCCTTTCTCATTCAAGCGTTATTTAAATTTCTCATAACAATTTACTTAAACAGATTAAATTGTTTGTTTTGACTCATAAACAAATCCCTACAGCAGTAAATTTTTCATTAATATTGCAACATGATACTTCGTGTTTGTAATTTTGGTGCTCATTATTATCCACTAATGGCTCTGGGTTCTGCCCAAATGCCATTATTTTTGCATCTTATTCTGTGATATCTTTACTACCTTTATTACTATTTTGTGAAAGTGCGTAATGAGTTGAAAATAATATTCATGTGCTGTTATTTTTCAGTGCAGTACATCTTCATTATGAAGATATTTGATAGTTCACTGCAAAAGTCTGCATCTGACTGAATTTCAAGACCCATCAATAAAGTGATTATAGATTATATTTCACGATTATATTTTACATGAGATGTTCAAATCTAACTCGATACATCGCACACGCTATCAGACTGACTACTGACTAACCATACTGTCGATAAACGTACTTTTATATTTCTAAAAACATACGGATCCTTTAAAAAATTTTGTTGAATTATTATTCAGTTGGGCGTCTGTATTTTCTTCATTATTACCAAATAGATACTCAATTTTACCTACGAAGTCTCACTGTGCCTATTCGTCGTCGTACCGATTTCATAGATTCATATCATTTCGTTCTGTTGTCATAAATGCCGGTAATACGAGTGCTTCTAAGGTACACATTGCTATTTGAATTTCGCTTCTTGTAACTTTCTAAGATATTCTTGGTACCCAGAAGCAATCGCATATCTTCTTATAGCAAATATAATAATGTTTCCTAAAGCTGCCAAGGCTTTGGGGTTTGTAATGAGAATTTCCAAATGCTTTGTGAAAGCTAAAACGCTTAACATTCTCTACTATACATTTGTTAACCACCTCGCAATAAGCCTCGCAAATTTTGAACCGTTACTATTATAAATCACACACATCGATCGCATCGAGAATATACATAAACGGTTTCTCTTGTGTTTTCGTGTAAATATTTTTAATAGCGCAAACAATTACATTGTGTGTTCAAGACATTTCATATCCAGCCACTTGTAAATCGATGATTCTTCTTTTCTTTTGAAAAATATTGCTAATGATATTGATTGTCCTAGGGTTTTGCAATCAGTATTCCATTTTCTTCTTAGAACTACAGAAAAACCTCATATACTTATTGTTCGAGCAAGCAGCGACTTCAATAAATTGTGCAAAGAGTACTGTTTTGATTCCTTTAATACCAAAAACAATGTTGTGCGCAGCATGTTAAACCTTAAATTCTTCCAATCGTAACATATTTAGATCTACTATTATTTATTGTTTGGTGTAGTGTCGTATTGGTTAGAGTGCCAGAACCTCTGATAAATTATAGTGTTTCATGTCTTCGTGTTTCACGATTCTATATACGGTCTAGATACCTGAAAAAAAGGATTAAAAAAAACTAAAACCAATGAATAAGTACTTTTTCTTTATAATAATATGTAGCACAATATGCATTTACACTAATATTTGGCCTTTAAGTAGGAACAATAGACTAAATCAAATATTAAGAAATAAATTGAAAATATACATAAATATATGTATATACGAGTACTTTTTATTGGTAAAATTTATAGAAACAATTTGTTATAGTTATTCAAACATAATTCGACTCAATAGTTTTGCATTATAAATATGTTTTTCATTGAGGATTGAGGATACGTTGATATTGAGGATACTTGCAGCGTTGTCTTCAGATTCCATATGGGCAAGTGATCAAATCCATCATGCTTTTCATCTTGAGGCGGAAGAATTGCTGTATTAGATTATTTTTCTTCATCGCAGTCATATCATCAGTTGCAGATGACGGCCGTACTCTTTTCTTCTGATATAATGGACCAAACGGGCAGAGACTTTTATCTCTCTCTCTCCGGTCGGTCACTCATGTCTGATGATCGTGGTCAGCGTCAGGGTTACATATGGAACGAATGATTTCTCTCCATAGGTTCTTACAAAGCGCATCTGTCAAGACCGTGTACAGATTGAGGGACGATGGTTTTTTTTATTTGTTCCGTTCATTTTGTTGGTGCACGACCGCGCGATCTTTTACCTTCGGTGTTTCCAACCACAATCAGTTTTTCTCCAATTTGGTCTATAGATGAAAGTCAGAACAGACACACCGACAAATCAAACTTTGTATCTCAACTTTTAGCATCAAGATTTAAAAAAAATGACATAAATAGCAATTAACAAGTTCAATACTACGCGCCAAAATGCTACTGAAACTTATATTCTCTCAGGATTCAGGAAATCTTAAAAATTTTACCTGACGTGTGTTTAATCGTTGCGGTCAAATAAGATTACTTTAAGAGTGGTTGTTGTCGATTTGTATTTATAACCGACTTTACAAAGAAGAAGGTTATCAATTCGACAGAATATTATTTTTTTGTTTATGTTTCATTATTATTAAACCTCCTTTCTAAGGAAAGTCTAATGTCCAGCAGTTAACTATTACGGGCTGTTGATGATGTTATTTTTGTTGTGTTGTATTTTTTTGTTGTGCTGTTGAATTAAACAGGTTGTACATATTTATTAATAAATACTATTATTTATTACATACTGTCCATAGGACCATTTTCTGTACTTGTGGAAGCCCTACGGCTTTCGGTGGGGCGGTGTATCGGTATACAAATCGACTTACCACACGGAGTATAGACTGATACAGGAACAGCTTTTATTAAGACATATTCTATAATCAAAACGGAACCACTCCACTTCCACATACGCACATCTTTAAAAAATATTACTGTAAAATACAATAACCAAAACATCAAAATCTGTGCTGTATGTATGCTATACAGTAGTTTGAATGTCAACTTTTTTGGACAAGTTCGAAAGGACATATGCGGATGTAGTCGCTTACAGACGTTCTCAGCTTGAGGTTGCCAATTTAGTTGGCTGTCGATTTATAGGCTTAAAAATTTAGCAATATGTATTTGATGGATGTTTTGGTTATTGTATTTTACAGTAATATTTTTTAAAGATGTGCGTATGTGGAAGTGGAGTGGTTCCGTTTTGATTATAGAATATGTCTTAATAAAAGCTAATTACAACGAATGAGGTTTATTTTTATAAGTTTGACATTGACAAGTTACATAATTTTTTTTCGGTTCGGTTGTTGTTTAGCCCCTTAACGGTCATAACGATCGGGATAAGATAAATTGTATCTGATTGCGATTTAGGGTTATTTAAGTTGCCTGAAAATATAAAATTAAACAAAAATTGGAAATATATTTTTTTTATTGGTGGTAAATATATTCCCTCTGCCCGTGACGGGATCTTACATTATTCTGACAAATTACTCTTATCTCTAAAAATAAAACTACCGCGTCTTCGGAAGACTGTGCTGAAAAGAATACGCAAGAAACTCGGCACCTAGATAACATACAGCACAGAAAGAGACTGAAATAATTTCAGTCTCTTTCTGTGCTGTATGGTTGGTGCTTCTTTGTGAAAATTTAGAAAGCATGGTGTTATGCATAATGAAACTTGACATTTGCTACACTGGATCTTGGACCGCTTGTCCTTTATCTTCGTACTACAATATCGGCATCTTTTATATGATGGTAGATCAACTGGCATGTGATTACCAACGTTAGAAAAACGAGTTTCTGGGGCAGTAATATGAACAGACTTCTGATAATTTTCGGAAAATGCAGCTTTTTTCCTCACAATATAGTTAACGTCAGCAGAACGACGTTTTCGGGATGAAAAGCCTCCTATAAGGGCTGTGGCTAAGGTGATACGGAACTCTAGGTTAATAAGTTTCGCAGCACTAGCATTTTTGCTGTACATCAAGAATGAATTTGTAATACAGGCATCGAAAAGGAAATAAAATATTCGAAGCCACCTCTTACTTCTTTGATATGATCAAAGTGATCAACTCCTCCCATTCTTTTTGTGTACTCCTTTACTAATGGAGGACATCGATGTTCAGCCTTCGTACCATCGTTTTGTGTTCTAGTTACGGATGTTTCATTGACTTTTGGGTGGAAAACATTAGTCAAAAATAGAACTTCCTTTGTATCCTGCCAGATCGCAAAAGCTACGTCTCCTTTTACTCTCCATTTATACTCACCTTTTTTTAATTTCAGTTTTCTTTTGCTCTTTACAATTTTAGGTAAGTCGGCCCTATGCCTGCGTACAGTGCCAGTAGTATGAATACCATTGGCGTACAGATAACTCATGATATCATAACCACAAAAAAATTATCAAATGTGACATGCACGGCTGGCATTCCTTTTAATTTTTCAGTCAACTTCATGACCACCTTTGCTCCTAAGTTGTCTTCCACTCTGTCACCATCTTTTCCAGTATATATATCAAACTCGTATAAATAACCAGTATAACTGTCGCACCTGCACCACACTTTGAAACCCCTTTTTATTGGCTTGAGGGTCATATATTGCTTCAATGAAGACCTCCCTTTGAAAATAATCATCGATTCGTCGTCGTCTATTGACTGTGAAGAAGGTTGTGTGCGTTTTCTTAAAAAAGCCTGTTGAGAAGTGTCACCAAAAGTCGAATTTTATACAATTTGTCATAAGCGGAGCTAGACCTCGCCGGATTCTTAGAATTATCATTCAAATGCAAACATCGTAAGATTTGTTTGAATCTTCTCAAGGTCATGGTGGAAGCTATTTCGTCAACTCTAAAAGCGTTATCAGATGACCAGTAGAGTTCTAAGGAAGGTAAAATATGGTAGCCCATTATAATTCCTAAGAAAGCATTCAATTCTTTGGTATCAATTTCAGTCCACCCTACCACGTTAGTTTGATAAGCATATAGGTTGGTTTCTGTAACAATCACCTGAAAAACTTCTTGAGTAAAAAAAAATTCGAAGTGACGGATAGCATTTGAAGGTAACATGCGCGTTGGAGTCATTAGGACACTATCAAAGGCGTCAGGTTGTGGCCTGTTGTCAGTCCACAATTATTTTTTTTTCACATATCTTCGTCTTCGTCAGAAGCATTTGTTTCTGGCTCTGCTTCTGACTCTGACGACTCTGGTTCTGACTCTGATGACTCACTAACTCTATGATTCAGCCTTTTACCAGTTTGCCGATTCATCATACGTCCACTTCCCCGTCCCGTTGCATGTCTATTTCCCCGTCCTCTGTTTGCTTATGTGGTTTGACCTATACCACAGCAGTTGCTACTAGGCAGGTCTGCACTCGACGTGGAAGGTTGAGGCGATAATGGAGCCCTTATCGTTTCAATAGACCCTAGGCCTGGTTCATCACTCGATGTGGAAGGCTGAGGCGAAGCTCTTATTATATCTGTAGATCGCAGACCTGGCTTATCCAAATCCTCTAAAATTCTCTGTAGCTTCGTGGTGTTATAAATATTTATTTCCTCATCCGATTCTTCAGCGTCTTCGGACTGATCTGGATCTGATGGGAAACCGAATATATCATCCAGTGCCGACTCTATTTCGTAATCTTTTAGCTGCTTTTTGCTCATTTTCAGTCAATCTGTAAAACAAAAAAAAATAACACCTCATGGTTAGAGGGAATATTCTTCCCACCAAGAAAAATCGTTGAAGGAAAAAAAATGTTGGAGATAAGCAATCAATATGACTCATTTCTAAGATATTAGATATAAATCTACAAAAACTAGAAGAACTTACCGTATAATCTCTACGTCAAATCTAAGATTTATACCGATTTATCTCTTAGTTGAAAAAAAACTCATGTTTTCAATTTAAAGCCCAAAAACGCTGTATCATAGAGATGTGCAATTTAAAGACCACAGACAGCTGTAAACCAATGTTTAAGTTATTTAGAATACTGACCTTTCCATCCTTATATATATTAGAAATAGCCATATTTGTAAAAACCAGTAAACACTTCACTCCTGTGGCAGAAACTAGAAAAGGACCTGTAATAAACCAAAACAGAAACCTTCTACGTGTTGGTTCCTATAAGACGGCGTTACTAAGGAAAAGTGTTATCTTCATGGGTCCCATTATATATAACAAATAGCCTGATGACTTAAAAAATGATGTAATGGGAAATTTCAAAAATAAATTAAAAGCCTTATGGACAACTGCTACTACACAATCAATGATTTTTAAAAGATACTTTGTAATTCTTATGACTTGTAATATGGTAATTCTGATGCAAACGGTCTACAAACTAATTATCAATATAGTGGATGTCAATACATCCACTATATTGACAATTAGTTTGTACACCGGACCATTGACATCTGAAATATTAATTTTTCGTTTTTTTTTTTCCTTTTTTTCTCTGTACTTATCCGTTCCAGATTTAATTTGATTTGGATCGAACCTATTTTTGCATGCTATATATTATATAGCCATTCCATCTGTAATTTGATGTACCTACATTCATAGCAAATAAACTTTGATTTGATTTGATTTTTTAACACATTTAACCCTTTCTTATAACTGACAGACTGTGAATTTCCTGATGATGTGATTCTTCAAAATTCTGAAAAGATTAATATTTTAAAAATATAGCATAAATGTTGTGCTAAATGTAACAAGCCAAGATGGCGGCAACAATGCCATTTACAATTGTAACAGACTTCGACTCTTTAAGGTCTCCTAACATTGTAGACTAACAGCTAGCTGTCAAATCAAGTAACTTGTGAAGTGTTAGTGTAAGAGCTTTTAGTCGTAACAACAATGTGTTTAGTGCAAAGTTTTACACACTCTTAAACAAAATTGTGAATTGAAATTTTACTTCTTTCAAGTCAACCACTTCATAGGGGGATTTAAACTTTTCAGTACAAGACAATAGACCATTTTCTTATTTTATTTGGGGTAAATAAATAACATTCCAAAGGGTTTTATCTGGTATCGAAGGCGATCTCGCATACCAATCCTCCTGGGCATGTAAAAGTTTTCAAATAGGAGAAGTCGTAAATCGGAGGGATGGGACGAAGGAGTAAAGATGGCGGCAAGTATATACTTGTATGTTTCTAAAGACATATATTTATATCTTGTAATGAATAATGGCGTCATTATTTTGACAGTTACTAATTTTCACGCATAAAATAACCCGATAATCATTCAACGCTTTCTTTATTAGACCGGCAATATAACAAAGCCCTAGATACGTCTGAACTGTCCAACGATCCGAGCGAAAATGCCTGCCACAGATTAAAAGATTTCTAAGGCTAACCGCACACTGTCAATAAGATTGATATTAAAATACATATTGTGTGTGTGCGGCCCGTATTGCGGTATTGTTCAATATTATTGTGGATCCAGAAATTCTGATTATGTCATGTCAATATCGGTGGGAGGTAGGGGTATTGCCAATAATGTTGTTGTGTGCAGGCGAGCCGCAATTTTTTTGTAGATAAAATGATTCAAGGCAGGCGGACCTTTGTATTTTATGTTTAAACGGAGGACGAAAACAGTATGAGGACAATAGTTGATATTAGTACTCTCACTACAAACCAATATGTGTCAGTATTTATTAAAACTTATCCTAAATTATGAAAATATCCTGTAAACTATATCGTGATAAAGTTTGAAAAGATAGTTTGCTTCATAAGTTGCCCAATTTAAATAAAATATTAAAGAAGATGTAAAGAAAAAATAAATTGCCTGGGACAAATTTTTTAAAACGAATTATAAAAAAGCCACACGCTTAGGTCTTGTCTACCTGGACGTATTGCGAATTGCTGTTTTTATCAAATTATGAACAAGTATTTAAAAAAAAACTACAGAGTTTATTAATTATATACTCTCACTGTAAGTAAGTTGGTAAAGAAAAAATATATTATGTAATTCAATTACAAAAGTAAATATGGTAAAATGTTATTTCTAATGCTGACTCTTCCGAGATCACTAATTTTTACTATATACTATGGATTTATAATCTGAAAATAAACGATATTACTATTATTATAAAACTTAATACATGATTAATATTCCACTTGACACTTACCTTATAAATATAAGTACTGAAGACTTACGTACTTTTTGCGGCATATTTCTTTTGTTTGTTAATTTTAGGACACGGATACCTTACCCTATGCCTTACTGTCCGACCCTCCAAGACCCACAAAAACGCGTAGTATTGAATTCAAATTAATATCACTTACAAAACTGTGCCATAAATTGCACGAGTAGAAATAAAAACCTCTAAATAAACACAATGGAATTCAACGAAATTTATGTAACACATCTTGACACTCGGTATTCGGTACGAAACCCACTTAAAGAAATGGTAAATTAAATAAAAGAATAATCCAATTTGATTGCCACATCAAAGTTCTAAGAGATATGACGATTCCTATACGACAGATAAAAGAGTGGAATGTTTTCGGAAAAAACCAGGACTTTTGATATTATTTTTTACGCAAACGCAATTATGCATATGTTGCGGACTAAGTGATTAAACATAGCGCTATTTATAAAATCTATATAGGTAATGCATAATCAGAATTAAAGGGCTGATCTAAATACTACTCATATTAAGTTCGTTAATCATATGATCAAAATGTCTTACCATTATAAAAAGTGTGGTGTGGTTTTGATGATGATTTGAACCCCGATGCAAGTAAAACTTTTAAAATCGCGTTTTTATTTGAGGCGATGTATTAGAAGTTTTACTTTAAAAAGGTCTACGTTAACCTTGCTCACATAAGAAAAAAATACTTTACAGCGGTTTTCTATAAGACTGTGCCATCGCTCCAGTCGACCCTTCGTTTATCTGCCGAAGAATAGGTGCTCCACAAAAAAAAATGGCCAGGTCGGACTGTATTCAGCTGTAATAAAGTTAAACATTATGTTTTAATAGATATTTATTATTCGCTTGCAAATTTTACAGAAACAGAAACGAATACATAGGTATTTGTTCCTCTTTCTGTAAAATTTGTAAATTTGATTTACCTAATGGAAGGAAAAATCTTTTATTTACCCTGTTTACAGTAAAAATATTAGTTTAAGATATATATGGCTTTTAATATATGAATGCACGGATGGCGTAGTGGTTTAAGAGGTCGCCACGCCGCTTTAGTGCGCTGAGTGTTGCGAGTTCGATACCCACATGGGGCACCACTTTGTGTGATCCACAAATTGTTGTTCTGAGTGTTAGTGTTCTTTGTGTTCCGTTTCATATATGTTTGTAAAGTCCCCCGTGACACAGGATATACATTCCTAATGCGGGAGTTGTCTTTAAAATAAAAGTATCCATTATGTACTCATCACTCACCACGCAATTATTTGTCCAGACCGGAAATCGAAGCCACGACCTCGACAGTGATGACGCTTAGCAGTGAGGATCACTAATCAGTCCAACCACTAGCCTAACAAACCAGTCAATTAACATTTTACAAGTTACATACAGATAACTTATATTACATTTAAGTTTTCTTATCTTATTTATAACTAGCTGTGACCCGCGGTGTTACCCGCGTTTGTTGTTATAACCGCGGGGAACGCCGCGGGGCGAAGCTAGTCTAAAAAAAGTAGCCTAAGTTACTCCTTATATCATCAGCTATCTGCCAGTGAAAGTCCCGTCGAAATCGGTCCAGCCGTTCCAGAGATTACCCGGAACAAACAGACAGACAGACAGACAGACAAAAATTGTAATTTTGGCATATGTACCATGTAAACATACATATGCATTTAGTAAAAAGCGGTTATTTTTGTATTACAAACAGACACTCCAATTTTATTTATCTAACATACATAACATACATATGCATTTAGTAAAAAGCGGTTATTTTAATATTACAAACAGACACTCCAATTTTATTTATCTAACATACATAACATACATATGCATTTAGTAAAAAGCGGTTATTTTAATATTACAAACAGACACTCCAATTTTATTTATTTGTATAGATGTCTGTTGACTGTCACACATCTCTTACGCCCACTTTCTAGTTATTAATATACCAGACCTTTTGCCCGCTGCTCCGCCCGCGCGTATGTCGGTTTTCGCGGTTTAGTGGTTTAGCGTAACAAGCAAACAAACTTACTTTCAAATTTATAATATAAGTATAAGTACGCCTACGAAAGTAATCACAGTATTAACATACCGTTCACTGAATTTTGACAGAACTATGAATGAACTCTTTATTTAAATAGCTTGTCCGTAGTCTAAGGCGAGTATGCGATGAGTTGATTTTAAATTAATAATAAGGTCCGTGTGGTGTCGGATTAAGAATACAAAGTGTCACCACCCAATTTATCGAGTGGCTGTCGTAAGAGTCGACTAAGGGAACAAACTACGCAGAACAACGGCACTGCAAAGAGAAGGAAAACTTGAAACAAACCCTTTTTTTTTTTTTTTTTTTTTTTTTTTTAACGTGTGGAAATCCCCTCGGACCGTCACCCCCTCCGGGGTTTGCGGCGGGGTGGTGTGTCGGACTCGGACCGACTAAAACCACACGGTGTGCCACTCTGCGCCTGTAACAGGAGGGATCCGGGAACAGCTGTTGTTAAGACATCCGGACCCCTCCTAGCGCCAGCC